AAGACCAGCCTTCAAGGTTCCATATGCAATGCCGAGAATTCCAACCAACATGGTCGTAGCCATTAAATGTGGTTTAAGTCGAGAAAGCCTCGATAAAACCATCCTGAAAATTCACCAGTCACAATGCCTCGAATTGCCTACTACATGGTTAACAAGACTTTTCCTAAATCAATGACACGAAGTTGACTTTACCCTAACCGCGTCCCGGAATCGACCATTAGTAGAGCATTACCTAAAAAACCTCTCAATAATGAGATCGCCATATGCCTGCTAAAGTAGGTTTATCAGACAGAGTCACTGATTTTACGAGTGCTTGACTAGATATAGTTGACATTAGACCTTCACTCATCAGTTTTACGCGCGTAAAATCAATACCTCTACCGCTTACGGTAGACTGAGGGAGCTTAGATCTGTGTAAATGAATCCAATTAAATCTAACTCTGAGGATCTCATAGATATACAACCTATTATCAGTTAATATCCCCATTTACCCATTCAGTCGAATTGATACCGATGCCTGTCCCAAAGGGTGCACAAAAATGAGGCAAGCCGAAGTTGTTAATGACATAATGAACATAAATATTAGACTGCCTCTTTAGTTCTGTAACTATGCTCGCTCATTTCGAAAATTCTCTTTTGCTTTTCACTTCCTGCCCAATCTTCCTGCTTTAATTTAAGCCTCCCTCTTTGCTTGAAATGTTTGCTATCCTATCTGTATTTCTCTTAACTCTATGCCCCATCTCTCTATATCTACTCAGTTCCTCTTTCAGCTCGTCTGGCTCATTTCCCGACTTTTCTTATAGAATGGCACACAACACCTCCGAACCGAATCCATGGTGAGTTACGTAGACCAAAGTTTGATGGAAATGCTCAACACATCCAATCGGAGGAGCTACGGGGTTACTAAACCCCAGCAGAATATACAACCGTCATTATAAGTCCCCTCTTCCAGAAACAAATCACTGAAACCACAGTTTTGTTCGTCTAAATTATAATGTTTGAATGATACATACAATTGAAGGGATGAAAAACGAAAAATTCGAATATCTAAGAAGGTAACATGGTTATTAAAGTAGGACCAATCCAAGAATTTGTTCATATATGCAGCTAAACGATAAAAACGTAATGTAGCTTTTATATGAAACGCTGGCTAAGAAAACAATAATGTACACAAAAAGCTCTAGCCCGTTTGTCGTACAAGAAATACGTCGTGCATTTGCGTCGCAAACACATAGCACGACGTCTTTATAAGCAAATTCGAACTGGTCCATGTTCACTTCGAGTGTTTTGGTGTTTCTCGGGTTTAGACAGTACGTAATAGTACTCAGCCGTTAGCTGATGCCTTCACAAAATTTACTCCTCCCAGTTATTCGGGCTGAACTTTTCATCATTTTTCTAAAACTCCTGATAATTCAGTAACTTAATAAACCACTAGGTAAGGAAATCCATAGAATCGGTTGCTGTTATCGCCCAGGAGGCTTTTATTTGTTTATCTATTTGGGAAAGTGCACAACATTCAGCAATTAGAAAAGCAAGCTGGTACCAAGTAGTCGGAGAGATTTTCTCAGATTTTCAGATATGTTTTTAATACTCGGACAAGAAGTAGCAATTTGCTCGAAAAAAGTGTCAGGCAGCCAGGCAAGTACCTGGTTCATATCCCTGGCATCACCAGCCGCTAAAATCTCAGCCTCCTTTTTTGAAATTTTACTGTGTTGAAGACTGAACACCACTGTATTCCGGAATAACGAATTTGATAAAAAGTGGCAAAATCTTAAAGGATGAGTAGACGATTTTGAAAGCTTCTAGCAATTACTATTGAGTGTGCCACTTTTTTCAAAGTCTGGCGACTGACTCCTTTCATAATGCAGCGTCGAGTGTCATTGACGCCGAACTGAAAAAGTTCTGTCAAAGAATATGCACCCTGGCAATAATATCAAAGGAGAATCAAATGGAAAAATAGGCGAGCAGACTCTGTCAGTGATTGGTGTGAAACATTCTCGCTTATCTCAACCAAAGTTTTTTTTTTCGTGTTTTACAATTGCCACCTCTTTCGAAACCTCCAGGAAAAGCACGTTGTGCAATTGCGCTCTTTTCACGTAATATCACGTCTCTGTGGAATATTCGAGCTACTTTGAAGTGCATTTAATTGCAGTCACCTGGTTGTCGGGTAGTGCACCGCTATGCTCACTGGCAGGTTGACCATTTGATGTCACTACATTCCTATTGCCACTTATTGATATTTTTTTACTGCTCGAACCTCCTAAAATGACTTATTAGGCACTTAACCAAGTGTAATTAACAATTTGAGGTGTGTTGGGGTGTAGCTGTGACGGCTCATTCAGTAGGATTACGATCATCTGTTCAAGCCGCTTGGGGATCTTATAGTATACTGTTAAGCGTCTTCGACGCCTTACTCTGAAAGTGCCATCCATGAAAACAAGCCTAGTGAGTTGACACCATCTCTCATCGAGGTTTCCCTGTAAAGCTCATGACCAGAGTAGTCGTTAAGCTGGATGTGGGTTAAAAAAAATTTGGATTGGACTTGAAAAAAGAATTATCTTTATACTAAGCAGAAGGATGTTGGTACCCTGTTTTTCACCCTGAATCATGTTCTACATTTCTCAAGAGCTCTATGAGGCAGCTATACGTCATGCTTATGATTGATTGAAGGTACGAGACCTGGAGATGCAGCTGTCGTTTTCCGAATTTCCTGATCTTTTGCTCTTCTACAGTTTTATATATTGCTCATGCTAGTGAAATCGTTTAATATGCGCTTCTGCGTTTTGATGACTTCACAATGCCATTGTTTTCCTACAACTTTAGCGATGATAAATTTCAAATATACGGTCATAGAAAAAGGAAATGAAAGCTGTATATTGTGGTGTTGTTTCATATTCGTATCATTTGTATCTCAAGGCACTTCGAGGTAATAGTTTTTGTCGTATAGTTTCTTTTGCAGGTAATAATGGAGGAAAAATACGACAACGTTCTCTTTTCACTGGCGAAATCACTGCCTGGAGGTATTCCAGAGCTTTTCGATGTTTTCTTCAGTTTTTTGGCGAGGTTTGTTCATTGTAGCGAATTTCCCAGTTTTCTTACAATGGGCTCACTGTCAGCGTGAAACAGTCGAGCCTACGCCGATCCTTCCATTAAGATTCTCCTTCCATTTAATAGGTTTCTTATCCGAATAAGCTACTGCTTCGTAAGAATTTCGAGGCTTCATTTTCGGGATATTTCTCCCCGATTCACGTTATTTCACCGAATCCCCAGACATCATCTGAGGCCATTCTTTACAGTCGGGTGTACGTGTGTCGTCAAGCTACACCCTTACGCTCACTGCAATCTCTTTTGTCCTACCACTCTGCCCAGTAAGGCGGACGTGATGAAATGGGGAAGTGGTAGTTGTATCGGTCAGGGTCTGTAAACACAGTAAACACAATGCAATTCAGCCCCTTACACTATCTCCCTACAGCCACTTATTTTTGAACAAAATGATCAAAAATGTGTCCGATTAGTTGTCGATCAGTGTGTCCTCCTTGTTGCAATCCTTGGTTAGTTAGAAACAGGTGCACTTCTAAGAGCGTAGTCTGGATAAATAGCTTTATTATGCAAAAATATTCCAACATGAAACGGTATATGGGATTACTTTGTTATAGAAGACAGAAAGTAAATCCTACTGGCAGATGTTACTAAGCTGCATTGGAAACATTTTTCTCATCGCAGTTTTGAATCTATTTTCAGTATTTCTACCGAAGGGACAACTCCGAACGATACAACTGCTCTGCATCCCAGTTCTAACCCTTTGACCGCATACCCGGATTCATTGTCAATTCGCTTTTTCGTGAGCACTCAAAAGAGGAAAGCCCATAAGAAAATATAACTACGAGTGAAGTCTCATTCAATCTTGTTGAATTGAAATCACTCCTGTGTAGAAAACCGAATCATTTCATCTTATTTCATCAGGGCCATGGGCTTTCTTTTTTTTGGGGTGTCTTCATATAAGAGGGCTGGCAATGAATACTGGAATTTGCCGAAAGGGTGAGAACCGGGGTTGATGATATAAGATGAAAACGTCCGGTTTTTTACCATTCATCATCATAGCATTTGTGATCGAAGTGGCCTTGGCTTGTTATATTTTGTTGTAAGCTCTTTTTTTAGTTCAATTGTTCTCATCATGTGACAGACCATGAACACGGATATGCATCTAAGAGGCGTCGATCTTACATCATTTCAAAAGCCTTGTTTTGTAAGCCTGTTTAAGATGATATGCGATAATAGGAGAGCTGGTGTTTTTGGAATGTTTATTTGGCAGTCATGTCTAGTTGAGATAAGTGCCTATGGCGGGAGTTTGAAGTTTTTCTCTAAGTGCTTGCTCGATGACCGTATGTCTAGTCTCCATTGCATTCTCTATGATGCGCTTTGTTGTAGTACTTATAAGCACGGTTTTGGTTCATTTTTGGCGGCTTGGCCTGCAGGATTGGCACAACTGCAAGAGTGTCGCAAAGTAATTAATAGATCACTAAGGGCACAGTGCAAAACCTATAACTCGACTAGGTCAACAACTCATAACTCAATTTCAACTACTCAGTGCTTTTAGCTAGTAGTAACAGTTCCTTTTGAAGGAAAACTGACTTCTATTCTGGTGCTGGAATCGAAGAAGCTCGAGCTCTGATGACGACGTATTTTGAGAAACATGGCAAGGAAGCTTTTGAGGTATTGTACAACACTGTTGTCATAAAATTTTAAGATTGAAATCCGCTGCTCACTGTGACTTCAGAGGAGCGCTATTATGTTCCTTGTTGCTACATTGTAGAAGGATTTTATGGCATATTTGTAGTGATTACATTATATCTTCATTTAATCATGGCCATGTTAACCATCACTGCGTCCTTTATTGTACAAAAACTTTACTCTCAAAAACTTTTCAAACCAACTTTCAAACACTCGTAATTGTTTGTAAACTTTCCACATTATTTTTCTTTGTTGTTGTTTTTCTTTTAACACCAAAAAGTTTCACTGGCATTTCCTTCTTATCGGATACTTAACCCTCTAGTGCATGCTCTTCCAAAGCTTTTTATAAGTCTGCTCTCCTGAGTCTTTGCAGTTCTAGTATGAGAGTATTGAAGTACCTCTGCAATCTCTGAAATAGCAACTTCGTTTTGTCTGAAAAACTTTTTCATATAAGACTACCTGTATTTCCTGTTAATACCTTTATATGAGATATGTTCGTTATAATTATTCCTGTATTGGAAAGCTTCTATTATATTTCCAGAAAGCTGCAGAATTAAAGAAAAAACGAGAAGAAGAGGAGAGGAAACTTGCTGCTAAACGAGCAGCTCAGAAGGCCAAAGAGGAGGCAGAATTTAAGGTATTCATTTAGTTTGCACTTTCTTGAATGGAGAAAGAAACGTGTTTTTCAGGCAGCTCAGCAGCAAGCAAACAGTACCAGTAAGATTGAAGAGATATCGGAAGCAGAAGCTGCAGAGTTTGAAAAGAAGCAGTAAGAATGACCAGTTCAATTGTCTGTAGACATAGCTTTCTCCAATCATTGAGCGTTGTAGCGGTGAAAAGCGGATTGTGAATGAAAAAGAAAGCGCTGAGGAGAAGAAAACTGACGACAAGGAGCCATCAGGTAGCGCAGATGATGATGATGAAGGAACCGGCTTAATGCCAAATTCGGGAAACGGTGCAGATATGGAGCATTATAGCTGGACTCAAACTTTGGCGGAAGTAGAGGTAACACTCCACAACTCTTAACCTAGTTCATATTCTATTTTTTTTTTTTGACTTTTCATAATTAGGCAAGTGCTTAAGGTGCGAATTCCATTCAAAGTTGGATTCCCCCTCAAATCGCGTGACATTGAAGTAAAAATAGGGAAACATTATATTCATGTTGCTCTGAAAGGACATCCTCCAGTTATCGATGGTCAACTACATGAGGAAGTTTGTTTTGTTTTATCGTTTTAATGGCTTTCAATGTTTTGCTTTTACCAACGTCACTTTTCCTCAGATCAAAACTGAGTCGTCAGCTTGGGTGCTCGAAGACAAGAAAAACGTGACGATCACTTTTGAGAAGGTAATTCTCACGACATTTCTCTTTTTTTTTTCAAGTAGACCTCAACAGACCTAAAAAGATAGGGTTGGAACTGTACTTAATTGTTCGATTTGTTCCAGTTGAATCAGATGACTTGGTGGACGCGACTTGTGAAAGGTGATCCGGAGATAAATACCAGAAAAATTGTGCCTGAGAACTCGAAACTATCCGACTTGGATGGTGAAACCAGGAAAATGGTCAGTTTACCAAGTTTTGCATTTGAACATGGCTTTGTATTGCGCTATTCACAGATTCTGTTGCTTGGAACTAGCTGTATGGTAATAGAGAACATTTCGGTTTTAGGTAGAAAAAATGATGTACGATCAACGCCAGAAAGAACTAGGGCTTCCAACGAGCGAAGAGAAGCAGAAGCATGACCTTATCAAAAAGTTGGTTTTGTTTCAGGGACACTCTTGTTTATTTGTAATGACTTTGAACTATGATTTGTTTATAGGTTTATGGAACAACATCCTGAAATGGATTTCTCGAACGCGAAGTTTGGCTAAGGACCTGCTCCACATCTACCTTTTTTTTGTTTTGATTCCTGTTGCTTAGACAACTGGTCAGATTCGTTTTATCGTGGCATGAGTGAAACGAAAAGTTTGGTATAATTTAATTTTAATGGATGTAGGCTTGCAAATAACATATATTATAGCAAACTATTCTGTCTGTTAGTTGTGTTGCACGTTAATTACAGCTCAATAACGATGTCAAGTGAAATGAAATGCTCTGGAAGGCTTCTTGTGTTTCAGTTTTTTNTTTTTTACCCTTCGCCCATTTTGTCGGGATGTGTCTCTTTCATTCTCGGCTTACCTAGCAGTTTATGCGGTAGATGTGAATGTGTTGTAATTTCTTTTGCAATTGTATTTTGAGGCATGACCTCGTGTTTTATCCCTGTGATTCCCCTTTGTCGTTTTGTTTGTTTTTTGTTTCTTTTTTTTTGTTGATCGATAAACCTCGATGCATATTTTGTTGTTTGTATTTACGATGAGGTCCACCACCTCATGTGTACAATTTTCAATGATCCCGTTATTTAGTCGAAATTATTTTTTGAATGTCTAATGGGCAGCAATAGGATTCAAATGCGAAAGATTACGTCGCGTTTGATAAAAAGTGCAGACGTTGATTGGGCTCGGACAGGTTTTTATGTTTCCTGCAAAATACCACGTCCATGAGGAAGAAATGACAAGCTGTTCTATATCGGAGTTGTGCTTTCCGATCAGCACCTCCATTGGTTGGGCTACGGCATAGCCTCTTAGCCATTTATGTTAAGAAAAAAAGGTTAGCTTCCCATTAACATATGAATTTCTATCTATAAAATTCAGACGCTTCTAATCGGTTGTACTTCATGCTGTATTAGATGGTAAAGTATATACGGAGATCACCAAAGCTTTGAGGATGAACAAGTGATGAAACGCTCAGCTATCATCCGCAGAGTAATGTGGTCGGATCCCACAGGAGCTCATTAGGCTCTATCTTATCTGAGTAGTATCACTTCTCAGTGATCTGTTTCAAGAAACCGCGCTGACTTGTCTTCCTTCCCGCAGCCATATTGCCTGAAGTGGGCAATCATTCAAACTCTTCTACAGTCTTGAGTGAGTGTCGAATGCATGGCTCATTCCCAAAGGAGGTCGCGATCGCCTTGTCGTTTCTGTACTGTGGATATTACAGATGTATTGATGATCAAGGCAGATATAGGTAGGTCTGATTATTGGTGTATTTAGGTTTTTTTTTTCAATGAAATTAAACCTGTTCACCTCATTATAGGCACTCGTTTTGTCAAGTCCTTTATACCGGATAATCCTGTGGTTTTTGCGGATTTGTGGTAGTGGCATTCGAAGTTCAAAATACTTTTGAAGATGGTTGATAACGAACTACTTATGAACCATTCCCGAATAGATTGGCAACCACGTAACTACGTATTGTTCTACGCAGTTCAAATATTCCCCTGAAAGAATAACTACTAATAACTAATAACTAACTACTTTTCGAACTGATTTATGTTTATAAACCATGTGCCATAGTACCCCATGGTTGACATATGATCGAGTGAGTATTCCTTTTTTGGGGAAAAGATGTAGTTGAATTCTCGAAACCCATTACGAATTTGTAATTGCAAAAAAAAACTCAGCCATGCAAACATGAGCCAGAACAGAGGTTGTTCGTGGAGGAGGGGGTGTAACTTTCGTTTCAAAATCGTAGTGGCATATTGAATGCATATGTAACCTGTGCAATGGCTTGCGGTGGCCAGCCGATGAACATATTGATCAGGGACTCGAGCCCATGACGTGTGCGTGTGAGAAGTGCGCCACTTGCCACTACACCACCCTATCTCCGCCCTTTATTTTACATACGTCTCGTTTTTTTTTCGTTTCTCAAACTATTAAGAATACCGATCCACTTAAGGACCGCATTTTTTGAAAAAAGCTATATTCATTTTTTATATAACTTCTATTAGCATTACACTAGTTTTATTAATTTTCATTTCTTTTGATTTTATGTATTTTTCTGGTTATTGCACGGCTTTCTAATTTTCTATATTTGCTAATCAATTGGTGTGTGTGTACAACATATGCTGTAATTTAGGCCAATATGATTCTATCAATTCGCCGCGCCGGCCGAACACTTTGGTCTATGGGGTGGACTCGCGTTTTTTGTACTTTGACCCCGTGAGTGTTCCCTTTCATGACGAACGCTCGCTAGACTGTACCTGTACCTGTTTTGATTAGTTATCGAAAAAGTTTTGTTACTTCTTCGAATTCCTCTACACAGTTTATTTCTGTAAAATACAATTGAACTGCATTATTTCCAGTCAGTTACTACTCCTGCGAGTAAAAGACGATGGCTTCGAAATCTGGTCAGTTGCTTCTGTTTAATACCTCCATCG